CAGAGCGGGCGTAGGCGGGGCGCAGGCGCAACCCGCGGGGACCAGATGCAGGGGGGCGCGGTCACGTCCGACATACGGTACATTACACGAAATATCAAAAGGGCGGTCTCCCGTACAGGTGCAAAACCACAAAGTACTGTTAGCAGCCGCACCCAACGTCCCATCACGCCTCACTGGACCCCTATACCCTGCCAGTACCTGTCCCATCAAGGTCCTAGGACCTTTTGCAAAAGTTCAGGTCCATTCAAGGACACCCCCTACGGTTCATGGTCTCCCCAAAACGGGTCAGGAATTGGCCTTTTTCCCTCTGAAAGTCACTCAAAAGGCCCTTACAAACCGGCCAACCTCTCACTCAGGGTCCATCACCACACGCCCTGCACACACCGTGCCTCTTTTTCCCCGGCTAATAGTACTGGACAATCTACCATAATCGCATACTAAACCCAATTCTGTACACCCAAATTCCATCACCGTCAAACTGTATTGTATCCCGTCAGCATGCGGCTCCAGCTGACTAGTTTTCGCCCTTTTCCTTGACCAGTTCACAGCCCAGTCACAGCCGTCCGTGCTGCCCGTAGAGCGCTCTTCAATTAACGTCATTGTTGCTCATTCTGGACGGTTCTGATGAGCGGCATTGCAAAACAGCGAGATGGAGGACATCTCAGCTGTAAATGCATCAATTCGTGTGCACTGGAGAGAAGCTGAGTGTGCATACGTTTGCCTTGATCATTCAGCAGCTGCATGACCGCTAAATGTAACCGTATGTCATGCGGTTCAATGTGATTTCTGCTGAGCACATTGACCTTTCCTTTCTCTACGGTTTTCTCTCGATTACAGTGGTGGCCATTTACTTGAGCAGAATGGACTGTAATCGAACAAAAGGTATGCAGTGGCTTCAACGCGAGTATGGCTGGAATGGCGGTGCAAAGAACGGCGGTTCATTCTGGCCGTCGTCCCCGGAGATAGCGCAGTAACACCACCCTCAAACGGGCAGCTGAGACATGTCGACAGCCTCAGTACCACAGCAGTTGAGGGTGCACTCAACGAACAAGCTTTGCCCCTCGCGCGAGCCGGCGCTTCACGAAGAACTGCTTGGCATGCCGACACGACCAACAAGATTGAGGCGACGGCAAGGAGAAGCTTCAAACGGGTAGCAAAACCCCCAACTGCCAGCCAGCCATGCAAGTACGCTTGTAGCGCCTCTCACAGCTGCCGCTCTGAGCGCCGCAATCGGTCGCAACCGCTCCTCAACGGTCGACGAAGTCAAAACGGAGGTCGGGTCCGCGGGTCAGGGCTGCCTCGTCCACTGCACGTCGGCGTATGATACGGGAAGCACTTCAGTCCGCCTCGACAAGGCTGTGCAGCGACGAAGGGTGGTCGCTTCTGCAGCAAAACCGCGCTGGCACTGCTGGTCTTGAACGGCAAGGAAAGCAGCTCAGAAAAGGCACAGACTGGCCGTGACCTTCGAAAAGGTCGAGCGCTATTGCGCTCAGGCTGTGGCGAACATCGCACACAGGGCCAGGGGAGTCAGGCAGCCAGGCCGAGCGCCTAAACCGCCGCGCGAGACACACATGGACCCCACGCAAACGCTGTTACAATTCAGAGTTCCCCTTCGTGCTGTCCGCACCCCTCCGGCAAAAGTACCACCCATGCCTAAGAGATGCTCTTTTGATACCCAGAATCTTTTTGACACGCCCGCCGCTTCACCACAACTCAACCCAGGACGCCCCACTGGCCACAATCAGCCACCACGTGTGCCCCAAGGGCCACATTCTCACCAAACAACCACACTTCCCGTGGTCAGCAACCATGTAATGCCCCACGGGGCATATTCCCATCAAACAACCATGTGGCGCCTCAATGCGCCACTCCTGGATCCGTCTCGCCACAATTCACGGCTGGCCGCTAGCCGGGCTGCCCCTGAACAAACGCACATGTCCAGTGGCAACCTGGGTGTTCCTTAGTACTCCAGGGCGTATTTGGGGTATGTATAGAGCACCCCTGATTGATGTTTTGGGGTTTCTGCCTCATTGAGCGCCAGCCTACTGGACGATTTTTAGTATGGCGAAGGTGTTGAGGCTGTCGACATCCCCTCTGCACCAAATCTGGACCTCACGGGTCGCCAGCTGCGTGATATCATTTATGCACTAACGTTTTTGATGAACCCCATTAATTGGCGACCCGAACAGCGGGTGTTGGGCCAGCAGCAGCACTGATGAATATGGAGCGGCCTGCTAATAAATGAATGCAGAACTCTTGCCGATGCATTAGGAGACAACCGTTGGTGATTGATTGGGACAGTGCTGAACAGTCCAGCGAGCCCAGGGTTGGAGCCCGCATGTGCAACAGTGACCAGATGGGCGGGAGCACGGCTTGGGCCTCTCCGGCTGGATAGTCCGTCTCAGCCGGCTACTGCAGCAGACGCAAGGCTGGGAGCCAGGACAGAGCTCTTAGCATTTCTGGATCTTTCCAGACTTCCAACTCGTCTTCTCCCCAGCCAGTGCAATCACTGCTCGCATTGAAGCTGCAGCATCTGCTGTCGCAGCAGCTGGTGGTTGCTCCGTGACCAGGCAACCTCATTTGCTTTGGGTGGCAACGGTGGAAGTGCCCATGTGCACGGGCATGTCGCCCCGGACACCCTTGAGTCGCTGCCGACACAGGAGAAGGCACTGTGAGAACAATCGCTGTGTAAAGGCCTCGTGAACTGTGAGCATGGTAAATCGATGACTTGCTTCTGAGGCCATCGGGGGATGGAGAAGCCTCTTCGCGTCCAACTGTCTCCACTGTTAGCGTTGCCCGGGCTGCATGGTCGCGGACTGGTCGAATCACCACGGGACTTGCGCGGCATGACAATTCTGTCGACCATGGACAAGTCAACACAACAGTAGGAAGCTGGTTCACGGAGGTTCGACGGCGGATCTCTGTGAGCCAAAACAGAAATTTCCAACCACAGCCACCGTTGACGACAGCCAACTTCCAGGTTGTGCACTGCACTGGATCCGACCAAGTGTGGATGCCCTGCAGTCGTCACCAGGCACTGTCACTGCGATCGACAGGTCTATCGCATGCCAGCCATCATGCCCCTAGCGACACTGGGAGAAAGTTAGAAACAATCTCCTTACAATGAATAGCAGAGGCGATGGGGCATCCCAGGCTCGCTGGCATGGTCATTTCACGAGCTGAGCAAGGGACGAGGTATTTGCCAGAGTGATACACACAGTTCGCTGAGCAGCCCTTGATGCCAGGTATCAAAAAAATGGGCACATGCTGGCCTCCACAGCAGGCACACAGCACAATCTGTTGGGTGCTGCAGGACTTTGCCCAGACATCAACAATCAATCGGATACCTGTCTGTGGCCATGGATGGCCATCCAGTAAGAACCCTGTCACAATAGGACAACTGCAAACCGCGAGTGCCCTGCAGACAAGGTGTTGCAGACTGAATCCTACTGCAAGCAATTGGACCCCAAGCAAAATTTCACAGCTTAGGAGATTTCTTGTTCAGAATCGCTTTCTTTCTCCGCCACTGGCGCAGACGCTGATTTCGATGTGCACCCATTCACCGCCTGTTTCGAACTATTGGATCGCTTCTTGTACTCCTCAAGCTGCTGCAAGTGAGCCGCCTGATACACGGCTGCCGCAAAATTGGAAGCCAAATCTGATGCATCGTGGTCGAAACTGCTGTCACCCAACTGGCAACCCACACAGCAAACATTGCAGCTCAGTCGCAACTCGACAGACAGGCTTGCAGAGTACATAAACGGCACAGATGGCATCGTCACACAAATCCACACACATGTGGGTTAATCACAAGTTGCTGCCATCGCCTTGAATGTGCATGGGCATTGTGCTGTCCTGTTTTTGCACCAACTCCTGCATTCATGCACTGCAATTTCCCCCACAGGCTGTCGAACAATGGTGTCAGTGCTCAGCACCTTTCATACAAATGCAGAGACTTCTGCATACACATGTGAATTCCAGTAGCACTTTCCACTGGCCACTAGTATTGTCCAGTGCTGTCACAGTACCTTCCAGCCTCTGCAGTGCACTGCAGATTGCAATTAAGATGCCAGCTAATGCAGATCACATCGCTTGTGTGATGGCCATAGTCACCAATGTCACAAACTCATGTGAGATGGCCGCAATCACGCCCTTCACCCACGTGCCACACCAAGATGTGTGGCACTGCTTCACCACTGCTGGTAGATTGCAGGCAGGTCTGGACACTGCCAATGCAAACTATCAGCACTCGACCTCACCCAACACACTAACATGCAGTACATCGTCCTGTTTTGACAAGTGCAATTGATGTGGGCTAATACAACAAAGCATCAGGCTGCAACTCACCGCCCCTTTTCTTCCATTTACACCTGGCTGCACACACTTCAAAGACTCCTCAAAGTCCCTAAGCTCCAAGGGCCGTACTTTTCCCATCTTGAAGCCCTGGTCTTGGTCACTGCGTTTCCTGCATGCAGTTCTGGACACAAGTTCCATTCTTGAATATCCTAGGATAGTTGTCTTCTCGCACATTATCCCACATTATCATAATATATCTTGTGACGATCATACAGTGAAGCCACGAAAACTGCCCAAAGCAGAATGGCAGAAAAACGTGTGGACGAAGATATTACAGTAGTCAGCAAACGAATGCAGGCCAACTCATGCGCTTTGCACAAGAAGCAGCGTTCCAACTACACTTGGACAACCACATTTGCATCTCGGCATTGATTCTAAGTTAGGTATGGCAGTGGGATCAAAGCACCAGTAGGAAGATTCTCAACACTGACACACACCACAGCCAACTCATCAATTGAGACCTGTGGCATACATGCACAGGAACAATGATATAGAACGATGGAGAAGTTGGAGTTCCATTGTTCCAATTTGCCTTTAAAACACAAATTGGGCCCTTGGAAGTCACAAGTGATGATGGACATGCATATATCTGGAAGCATAGTGGACACAAAGATGTCCTACCCAGTGTACTTTGCAGGTAGCACTTACTTGATGGCTTCCTGCACGGGCCGCTGGGCAGCCTGAGCACACAGTTCGTGAAGATCGCTTCCGCTGAAGCACTTCGTCCTCCTTGCGATCCAGCCAATCGCTGACGTCCCCTCGCGCACAACCCTGGTACAAAGACAACATACAGTCGATGACACAGGCCTGGGCAACAAACACATCAGGACAATAGACGTGTGAAAGAAAGACCAGCCAAATGCAGGCAAGTGGCGCAATGATGTGATGCAAGAATGTTTCCTTCACAGTCTCGCTGGTCGTAGATCCCAGGGATTGCAGCAGTGCATGCTGAGCTCTTGGCAGCCCAGCAAATGCACAACGTTTTCCACTATTTGTTTATCACTTTCCCATTTCTTGGCATCAGAAGCCTATAGTAGTGTATAGTGTAACTGACCTGCTATCGAGCAGTGGCGATGACATGCTGCCCGTCACAGCAGTCGCCTCCTGCATATGCTTTTCGATGTACCCCCTCACGATTGCTGCACGCTGCCTCTCGTCTGGAAGCCCAATCTGCAGTCAAAAGGCCTAGGTTCTCAGCGACACATCGCACACAACCTGGTTTGCAACATCTGCCACGCCAATGCCGATCACTCTCTTTCCAGATCTCAGAGCATGTCAGGAATGATGCATTGCCACTGGGCACAGAATGCCGAACTTGGTAACCTCAGGGAGCAAGTACTACTTTGCACGTTGACAAATTGTTGCCCCTCAGGCTTGTATTTGTTGAAGAAAGATCCACAGACCATGTCAAAGCAAGGTCTTCTGCTTATGCCAACCACAGTATGCTTCTTGCAATTGAGGCAATTGCGCTGTCGATGGGCTAGACCACATGACGTGCACCGGCACAAGACTCCAGCCCCCACAAGTTCATCCACATCTTTCTTTGAAATGTGTGACAACAGAACACACTCCTACGCAGATCTGAACCCTGAGGGCAATGGCGCATGTAGCCGATACCTCATATTTCAAGCTGAACCGCCTCAACACTGCAGGGTCCAGAGAGTCTGGCCTATTGGTGGCACCCATCACCAATATCCTCTGCCCCTTTTGTGTCTCCATTCCCTCCCAGCACTGCATGAACTCCGTCTTGACAGACAGCGTAGCCTCATGCTCTGTCTGTGAGCCACGTTTCCCCAAGAACGAATCAACTTCATCTGTCAATGAATGCAACGAAGATGTCAGTAAATGCCACCCTCCTTGTTGAGATGTGCAAATCTTTCCACCAAAATTGCCTAATTGTGACACAAACTGCTGCTGCACATTGAATTTTATAATGGGCATCACACAATGCACAAAATTGCTCCACAACCCCTATTTGTTTCACTACACCTGTTCTCTTAATCTGCACAGATGTTACTCAAGAAAAAGAAATGCAAAGACACAGTCACTCAAGACAAAAGAGCACAAATGCAAGGTCACTGTTGCATAGGCCAGCAAACACCTGTTATGCTCTGCTGCATGTCATCACCACAGACAGGCACCAGCACAAAACTAAAGCCATTTCCCAGTTACAACGTGCCACAGCTTGTCACGTTCCGCCACGCTGGCAATGCCATGCACTAAACGATCTTCTTAAGGTGCTCAAATACCCCCAACCTCCCCAGGGCTGTACAAGGTTCATTGCCTCTTCTGTGTTGCATTATTTTGCGGCTCGCAACATGTCTCTGTAACACTGGTCAGCCACTGTCCAATACCCTTGAGCTGCACCCCCTTTGAGGAGTGCCACCTACCAATGAAAATTATGCAGGGCTGCAGCTTCTCAGCGAGCGACCATGTGGCCTTCACATACTTCTGCGCATCTCCGTACCATTTGCTGAGTATGGAGCTTGCTGTAACATTGATGAAAAAGCACCCAGACGACTGTGCCAATGCCTGGTACAAATCGCACACATCATTCACAAGTGCACATCCACAGGCAAGCCAATGAACAACACCAAGCTCTTCGCATTTCAACAACAAATTTTGTCTGCAAGGGCACTGGAAGCAAACCTTCTCTTCAAGAGACTGTGCATTCCTTTTCACATGATCAGTCATTTAGGCTCTTATACTGGCTTGCACTTTCATGCGAAGTCGCACAAGGCCCAGCCCACAACCTTCCGTTGAGATGCAGGCTGGTCCTGGACCATTTCACGCGATGTAAAACTTTGAACAGCAAGGCAGCAGGGAGTCAACAACACACACAAGATCATCACAACTCCATGCCTGTGCATGGCTGTTGTGATATTGCCAACGACTTCAGCCCGCAGACATAGAAGGTGCTGGCACTGCCAGCCTCATATGCTGCAAACTGGCCCTGACCCCATCCTTTGGCGCCACTCCAGATTCCACAGCCCAACTGGCACCGATGAGCCAGAGCAAGAGCACGCTACATGCATGGAATTGGCTAAAGGGATAGGCTACAGCCACGGCATGCAGACAGTTCCAGCAGGCTTGTTGTGGCACCAAGCAACTGAATGGCGGCTACAATCGATTGCAAGATGGCACCAAGCAGCTAGCCAATATCAGCTGCACACCCTGGCAGTGCTTGTGTTCTGTCGCAATGCAATGTAGTGTCCTGACACATAAAATAAACAATGAAATATCAACAAAGATAATAGCATAAATAGTCTAAACCACAATCGAACAGATTGACTCTGGCATAGCTGCTGAGTACATCCACTGTCAGAAGACGACCTCTGAAATCATATATGGTATATAGATGTGATTCCTCATCTCCTTGCACCCACCTTAGCAATCATAGTCTTCCCTGTACCGGGAGGCCCATACAACAGAAGTCCCTTGGCTTGCCTCAACAATGCTGTCTTGTAAATGTCCGTCAACAGCAAGGGGTAGACAACCTTCAAGCGCTGCAAGGCCCACAAGACACCACCCAGTCAATGCCTGCCCATGCACAAGGGCTTGTTTGTCGTTCGTTTTTGGTAAAACTCAGGAATAAGTTTGAAACAACATAAAATCTGAGGGCAGTGGCATACTTCGCCTTCAAAAGGATCAAAAAAAACAGAAGCACGAGCCACCAGTGAAGACAACAACGTGGAAGAGAGGCAAAACAACCACTTGCTTGCAGCATCAGCTTCTGCCATCAAGAGAACAAATCGACGATGCTGTGGACATTCACCGATCCACAGTGGAAACCTGTGATTGACCACATCCATTGGCCCCAGTGGGAGTTGTTGACCAAAGGAAAGTTTCAGATTTTGTCTTATCTCCCACAAGAAATCATGTGCCAATGCACAAATTGCACCCATGTGTATAACATCTCCATGGGAGGATTACAACAGCAATGCAACATTCATGAGTCCCAAGACACAATTCCTGCTGGTGCTGTGAGAACAAGTAGCAAGGGATCGTGATGCAGCTTTGTACATGGGCTTGTAAGTGTGGGGCCACCACCACACGCTGTTTAATCCTAATTGACTACAATATCACAGAGTGACAAATCAATGATCTTTTGCCCAGTAGGCAATATTTGGCGTTGATCACAATCACTCTGCTCTTTCAGCATTCCAACTTGCTTGCTGCCTGCCAAACCATCCTGAGTACGGTAGTACCGCAAGCGCTGTTTGTCAACAAAATGGGATGGAAATGAGGTAATGATATGGTGGCAGTCCATCTGGTTAAAACTCCTTGCTAATTCCTCAATTTCCAGCTTCCAGACAACAACATAGATGCCAACAGCATTTCCTCAACAAAGACAAGAAACGTTCAGGGTCACCAGTACACAGCCCAGATGGCTTCCTTGCTTTCCAGCACTGCAGCTCACCAGATCCTCCAACAGAGCCTCTTGCCCCTTGATATCATTCTCTGTGACATCAATCTCTCTGGGGTTCAGCACAAGGTCGGTCAGCATCTGCACACCACAGGAGACGTTGTAAATCGAACACAACCATCATGAAACACCATGCTAGCCCATCGAAACGTGGGGTAAGCATAGGAGACTGTGCATGAGCCACTTTCAATGCAAAGACACTGGCCTAGACACTTATCTTTGCCACACAAGCTTGCCTTGATGTCACACAGATCAAACTCACAATGCCACAGAGCAACACAAGTTAAATATGGCCCATGCTGCACATCCAGTTGCAGTGAGATGGCAACTGTGGGCAGATATGTAAAGTTGCAGACAGCAAGAGTTGATGGTGTTCACCAGTGTGCTGCTGCAGTAAACTACCGTAGATGCTCACTTCACATGTGACAATTTCATCAACTGCAAGGTCATTCCTTCAAGATTCGCAATTACAGCATCACTATTAAGAGTCCAGAGGGCACCTGTCACAAAAAAAGAGACGTGGGCACCTAGCAACAAAGTGCAAGGGGAATACAAACAACACAGAATGAGTGAATGAAATATTCACACAGCCCCACACAAGGCGTTATGAACTGTCTGCATTCACCTATTGCCAGGATGCTGACAACAAACCCTCTGCCACCAGCAACATTGGAAAAAATGATAAGAATGCTAGGCATTAGTGTGGTGATGGTGTCAAGGTAAATGGGACATAAAGCCACACCAAATCGCAACCACAACAATCATAACAGCCGCACCAAATCATAGACTGGCAGCCAAATTTGCACGGACTGTTCGCATTGGCAACAATGGCACACATGCGGGCAGCCCATGGTTGTCAAAAACTCACTATTTCCATGGAGGTGAGATTAATTTTTCTCCCAAGACGTTTCTTCAGCGCCTCGACGTACTTCTCTTTCCTCTGCACCACATCCAAACACTCAGACCACATTAAAAGCAAAAACGCAATTGCGGTGTCCAATTTCTTCACGAATGCAAGATCAACGTGCTGGGCTGAGGCAACAAGATACCAGCCCGTGGTGTAGTGGCATTCTCCTGGCCTCCATGGCTGGAAGCAGCTGTTTAGGCTGCGAGTATGTTCTGCACTCCTCCATCCGCGTCCAAGGGTTTGCAAGTCGACTTGTTACCATCACCAAGACCAGCAACAAGCATCTGGGCAACTCGGGGCTGAGCATGCAGCAGCTGAAATCTGGGCATGCAGCCGTTCAGGCGTCCAAACCATTCGTGGCTTGTTGCAATAACCAGTCTGAGCACCAAAGGCTAATTCGGCAGGCAACAAACATTCGGTACCAACGTCCGAATGGCTGTCCCCTGTGCCGATTTCAGAAATCCCCCCCACACACATACACATGATGTGCGGAACCAGGAAATCTGGGTGACAGCTGACAGGAGTTCAAGTGACAGCGAGCAGGTCGGTCAGATTTGGAGACGCCAGCCTTGGCACTGGCGAGAAGACCCGTGCAGCCGTCTCCACGCCATTCTCGTGGCCAATCTGTGCATTACTCGACAACGGGCCACGGCACATTCGCCAAGTTGACGCTTCCGCAAAATACTCTACGGCACGCAAAAAGAGTCCCCCATTGGGCCTGCTCGGGAGGGCGCTACATATCGCACGATCCGATCCTGCACTTCGCTGAAAAAGGATTTTCGCCACGCCAACCATCTCGCAATTCCGCCCGCACCTTTCGATCCTCCTTGTTGGGGTCCAGCATCGACGCCGCGAAGTAAACGCACACCACCGCGCCCACCATGCTGACGGCGATCGACACGAGCTGCACAAAGCGCGTTCAAGTTTCAGAAGAAAAGCACGTGCGCAAACCCCCCCAGCTGCTGACGTCCCCGAAGAATTCATCCACCGAGAAGCGCTGCGTCTCGGCCACGAGCCCCGGCGGGCCGGGGACCCGCACGCTGCGGGTCGGGAGTGGGCCAGGCGTGCGAGGCCGGGGGGGCACAACGCACCGAGCATGCCAGCGGAATCTTCGTGACAGAAATTGGCCCACGCCTTCAATGGGGCGCCAGGACAGGCCAGGCGCAACAGAATGTTACGACGCGATGGTCGCGCTGCGAGGCTGCGAGCAGCCCCCAAATGCGAAGGCCCGGGGGGGGGGAGGCTGCTCACCTCCGTGACCAGCGTCGCTTCTCGGCCCCCCGGCATCGTGCGCCGCCTGCGGGACGGTGCCCTTGGGAGAGGGGCTGGCGGTTGGCGAGCCTGTGCTCTTGGGGTGGCTGGACGGGCCTCCAGCAGTTGTCCCTTTACCCGGACGGCAGGACGCTTGCACGCGCGTGGGGGAGTGGGGCGCTGCGGCTGTGTCAGAGCCGCGGAGGCGAAACTGCGGAGCTCGGTACGCCCCGTGAGTGGGTGGCTGCGCGGGCAGCGCACGGGCGAGAAATCCTGCATGGGAGATTTGTTTGGCGGGGGACGGTTGCGGTTTTTTTGCTTCGATGCACTAGGCGGGACGAACTCTGCGGCTCCGCTGTTGTTTGCTTCCGGCGTCGGTCTCTTTCGACTGGTGCGGTGGCAGCTCTCGTGAAATAATCGCGCACCGCCTTGTTCTAGCTGGTTTTGAAACTGGCAGGCAGATGCGGGGAGTGGCTTGGGGTTGGTCCCCCGCGTTAAGATGCGGCTTCCAGCTTTAGCGTGGCCGAGTTGGCCTTTTTCAGCAATCTGCGTCTGCGGCGACATTCCCAACGGCCAGGCCCGGTGCCTCCCACAATTCCGCAACCTACCGTTGCGACGGCAACTGGCGCAAATCCCCAATGATTCACCGTGCCCGAAAAGCCTCGTTGATCCTGCGCCTGAATGTACTTCAGGGGCCTGACTGTACAAGGTTGCAACACCTTGACCAGTGGTTTTCATGCGAATATGTATATTCAACTGTACAAACTAGTCCCCACATCTTTTCCATGAGGATCGCTTCTTCTGCTGCTGTCAAGGTCAGCGTGGATCAGTGGCTGTGCCTACACCCACCGTCGAAGGCTATGAAACTAGTCGCTCCGTCTTTCCGTGAAGATCCCTTCTTATTTCGGACACCCTAAGCACCAAACCAATGACCCACTGACCGGCGTTCGCCTTGTCAGCGGAAGAAGAAGGGATCTTCACGGAAAAGACTGAGGCATACAATTATTGGCTGCACCAAATCGATGACTTTCTGCACTAAATCGGCGACTGCTTGCACCTACTCCCTTCAAAACTTACCTAACCTAAAACTTAAAACCCAAAACCTAAAAGATAAACCTGCCCTAGCCCTAACCCTAACCCTAAAACTAAACATAACCCTAAACTGAGGTTAGGACACAGTGTGCACGTGATTTGGTGCAAGCAGTCACCGATTTGGTGCAGGCAGTAATATTATTTCAAAGACTGAGGGAATACTTGTACATTCTCCGTCATGCCGACGCAGGTGATCACTCTTTCAAACCACTGCCAGAAACCCAAATCTGTTCCTGCCCTCTGCGCTCATCCTCCCGCCAAGCAAGCGCCGCACCCCCCCCCGTTGCCCGGCCGTCCGGCTCGCCCCTCGCTTCGTCAGCAGCCCCGCGTGCGCCGCCTCCGCATGCCCTTGACGCGGCATGCCCGAGGTTCGTAAATCTGATCCGGATAGGTTCGCGACTCCATTTGTTTTGTCTCTGTCGGTGCCCCGCTCGGACGGCGCCCCATTTTTCCTTTCCTTCCATGGCTCGACGCCGCCAATCGGGATCCCAAGCCTCCCTGATCCTACTGTCGGAATCCTTTTGGAGGGTCCGGGGCAGTGCCTCGGCCCCTCGTGCGCGGGCAAGGCCTGCGGACGAGCCCTGTTGCTATGGGGGGCCATCCCCCTAAATTTCGCCATTTTCCGGATTTTTGGCTCTTTCGCCATTTTCTGTTCTTTCCATCTTTCGGAGATTTAATCTGTGTGCCGATCGTGCACGTGCTGGTGGCGCAGTCGCCGAAGACCATGAGGCTCAGGATGCTGCAGCGGGACCTTCTGGAGCTGCAGGTGGGCTTCGACATTCAGAATGTGAGCCTCCGGTGGGCTGCGAAAGATGTGGAGAGGGCGCGGAAGCAAGTCGGCTCAGTGGAGCAGGTGAGTACAGAACGGTGAAAGACGGTCGCGAAGCAGGGAGTTGTGTGACGAAAGAGGGAGCTGACGGCTGCTTCTCTACCCTCACATTTTGTGTTTTTAATGCTGGTTGAAGCTGGGCGCCTTGTAACTGCATCTGAGCGCTCAAGAATTGGCAGCCAGCATGTGGCAAAGTGTGTGATCAGCCGCGCAACCATTGGCAGGCGCTGTGCCGGTTTGTGGCATTTTGTTTCTGAATTCAAACATGTGGCCAGTTGGCGTCGTGCATGGCTAGACGGCCATTGCAGCGAAAGTGTGCAACGTCCGATGGACACACACTTAACTTTCACAACGGACATCCTGTAAATTTGAATCAGGTTCAGACCAGGTCCCAGACAAGGGGAAATCTGTGGGCATCACTGGGATGGCGAGCTGGCTCAATGCCAGATTGCATTGTTGTTGGTCTCTACCCTCGAAGTTCTTTGTTTGTGCTTAAACTCTGTACTTGTGACTTTGCATCTCCCGCAGGACTATCAGTTCCTCAATAATCTCTATGAGGCAGCGGCACGTGTCCTCAAGGAGCAGACTACAGAACTGGAGAGTCTTGAGAAAGATGCTGCCAAGAAGGGACAGCAGATCAACGAACTCGACAAGATGAATGGTCGGCTGGAGAGAGAAAGGGCAGACCTTGCAAATGAGGTTGGGGGGCTGTGAATTATGTCTTGTGCTCATGTATGGTGCCAAAGGGCGCACACCGATGTTTGGTTTGCAAGGGGAGCCCTGTAATATTTGTCGCCCTTTTGTCAATTCATCATTATTGGCATTTGGCAGACACATGCACGAAATGCCGCCCTCTTACCCACCAGGCCATGGCGGGCGATGGTAACCAACATAAGATTTTGACTCCAGGCCACTTGCTGTTCGTTTTGACAGGCGAATTTGTTGTTGTGCAGGTGAAGATTCTTGAAATGAGAGCAACAGAGCAGGAGAAGGCCCACAAGTTATCTTCAGATGAGCGACACCGGCATCACATCCAGGAGATCGAAGCCCTTGAGAAAGAAAATGGGCGTCTTAGGCAGCAAGCAGAGGAGTCAGCAAAGCAGGTCAGCATCCTGTCACATAATCCTCATCTGTTGCAGGTGCCAAAGCCACAGCAGGACTGAACGAGTGATTGGCACAGCAAATTGATGATGACTGGGCGGTACAATGTATTTTGTGACAACTGTAGTCAAAGGAAGTTGGTGATGAATGGATGGCCCAAGATGCCTGGGCAGGTTGCTTTCTTCTTTATGATTCAAACATAACTACATATTTAAGGTTGTTGTTCTCATGCGCTATCAGAAAACGAAGCCTGTGAAGCCCTTATGCACATGAAATGCTTGATTTGCTGACGTTGTCAAAGCCACAAATACCAATTGGAGGATTGTGCCAGCAGCTGCTGAACAGAATATGGGAAATCAAAACCTCTATGTAGGCTATCTTTTGCAAAAGATGACGCATTTGTGGGACTAACGTGCATTGTGCATCTCCTTCCCGCAAGTGTGTCATCTTTTGCAAATTGAATCAGGGTGCCTGTGGGTCAGTTGTCGCCATCATCACCACCATCACACACACATGCATAGGTTTGTTACAAGAAAATGTTGCCCTATTTGAGGGCAGACATGGCAGAGATGTGCCATTACAAGCAGATTCTATGGGGACAGGGGCATTATGCTTCTTAGGATAGAAGCTCGATGCAGACGTATGAAAGCGTACCCAACTTGCACCAACATACATTCAACAGCACACTGTCATCGACTCAAATGGCTTTCTGCACTTGGTGATGCGAAATCTGTATTCTGAATGTGGGCCAGAAAGGTCTGTACTCAATTTCTGCAAAGCCAATATTGCTTGTCGTTTGGAAGCTGCAAGTGGGTGTGTGTTATTCTACCCAGGAAGTTGTCCTAAGGGCTGAAGTAAGAGGTCGAGAAGAGGCCCAGCGACACGAACTTGAAGACATGCTGAAATCCAGCGAAGCAGAAAAGAGAAAACAAAAGTGCGTTGCCATCTCAATGGCCATTCTACGGGCATGAACTCAAAAGGCAGCCAGGTGTCAACAATGGAATGTGTGAATACCTAATTTCTGAAGCTTGAGGCATGCATCCAATTTTTGAAGCTTTGGACACTGGATGCTTGCTCTTCCCACAGTTGGCATTTGTGTTCGGATCAACACGTCTGGGTGGATTGAACATGTGACTTTTCAGTAGAGTACAGACAGCCCAATTGGTGTGCTGCAATTACACGAGACCAAGATGCTGTCCTGCTTAGATATCGTTGTGCCATAGAAGCACCAACTGATAATAGTTAGATTGACATGGCAGCATGCTATTGGTCACATGCCAAGAATTTACTTGGCTTTGCCTTGTTATGCCACAGTCTGTGTAGCAAGAGCAGAACAGTTTTGCGATGTGCTGATGTTCAGTCGGCAATCTTTTCTCTGCTTCAGGTTGGAGTTTCAGGCAACAATTGCACACCTGTCAGATAAGGCCGAGGAACTGCAGAACGAGGTGTGCACACCCTCCTCTGTAGATTGTGCTGTGCATGCCTTGGTTGCAAGTATCAACACTTTAACTGTTGTGGCTGTTGTTCAAAGCCTCATTCTGAGGCACCCTTCAGCTGCAGGAGGTGGCTGTGCAATTGCGGATGGCTATCTGGACAGACACGCTTGTGCAAAACGTTGCTGTTGTGTTGCAAGTGATAACTAGCTATGCCTCGATGTTGGTTGGGTGCAGCATTACAGTTGTCCTGCATCGCTGCCCCCATGCTCTCCTTTTATTTGTATCTGGGATTCTCCCTCTGGTGTTAATGAACAGCCTTGAAAAAGCATTGTGGAAGATCCTGAAAGATCAACACAGTTGGAATTGTGGATTGTCATCGCTGTGCAGGTGAGGACCCTCTTTGACATTTTTTATCACAGTGAGTCAGCCAGAATGCCTTTCTTCAGGTGTTGCGCCTGAAAAATGATGCGAGGCAGCGTGAGGAAAGTCATCGGGAGGAACTTGAGGATCTTAAGAAGTTTGGCGAGGCTGACAGGAGAAAGCGAACGTAAGGCCTCCAAAGACAGCCTGTGTCCGACTTTGGAGACCATTTGTGTCAAGCAGGTCCAATTTCCTTTGAGGCAATCTGGTGGATTGCATTGCAGAATGTAAGAAAGTCCCTTTGCACTGCAATGCTATTGCCATTGTAGATCCAACCACATAGTTTGCTTGAGAAGGTTTCATTATGTCTACAATCTTGGAAAGTAAAACACTATGTGGAAGGATGCCACAACCTGTCACTGAGAACAAGGAGGGTATTGTCAGGCATGTGATGGTTTAGATACCAGCAACTTCACTGAACTTGAACGCTGGGTTGAGTGACTTCTGGCACATTGCATTGGGCCTAGTTGGTATTATTGCGGTTTAGGGTAGCACAAAATGCTGTGTCCTCAGCACCAGTCACACGTTTGGCTCTGACTTATCAGCAGCTCTCTGCTCATATGAGCATATTTTAATCTATGTTCACGGCTAAAAACTATTTTCGACCAAAGTCCATGGCCCACAAGTGTAGGCAAGGAAATTACTGGTAGATGGAAAACGATCTGTCAGGGATAGAAACCACCGTCAGTGTTCAACAGCTGTGACCCCTCGATTCCAAAACATTGCATGACCTTCAAGCAACAGCGGCTGTGCTCTTGTGCAGGCTCGATGCACATGCAGACATTGTTGAGCTTTCAGATAGGGTTGAGGAACTCCAAAATGAGGTAATACCAGAACAAGCCTTCATCAGCTGGCCTATGGCTCGCATTGAACTACTGCTGCTTTGCTACCTTGCATTTACTGAACCAGTAATTGGCTGTAATAACCAAATGTTTGGAATTTTTGACTTTGGGGGATTTTCTGCTTTGGGATATCAGAGAAATACCTTTTGATCTCTGATTGCTGCATCTCCCAGTTGGCACCACCTTTGTTGTGAGTGTTTCTCCCAATAGCGCCTCCAGTGGGAATGAACAGCAAATAATCTGCTGTGAGGGCACCTTCCACCAAAGGAATTGTCTTTTTGGCGGGTTCGCTCATGATAGCTGCTATGACACCCAGGCAATTGCGCTGAAGGCTGCAGCACGAGACAGGGAGAAAACTCTGCGACAGGAGCTTCAGGACTTCAGAAAAACGGTCGAGCTCGAGAAAAGGAAGCAGAGGTCAGTAAAAGACGTTTACTTTGGTGCGCACATTTTGTATCAATTTGTCCAGCTTTTGCATCTATCACGTCATCTCATTCCTTTCAATCATTCCTTTGGTGTCAGGAGTACAAAAGTATTATTATATTCAAATGAGTGATATGCTGCAAACAAATCTCAATAACATGCAGCCAATGCTGCATTCGCAGTTTCTTGTCCATATCTATGCCTTAGAAGGCATGGTCATATTGGGTGCCTGCATACGTACAATGGATTCAAGGAACAAATGTCATCAAGGGACCCTGCAGTGAGGTGTGCATCCAAATTGGAATGCGGTGGAACATTCTCAGCTCAGTATTTATGTATGTTGTGTGCAATACCTGTCTGGCACTGTGTTATAAACATGGGCATTGTGAGCATGGACCAGATCAATTTGTAAATCACCAGGGTTAGTTGTTCTGAACAAGTGCAACTCTGTTTACGGTGGCTGCTCTGATCCTCAGGTTGGAGGCACAGGCGGAAGCTGTTGTCAATGCAGAGAAGCTGGAGGCTCTCACAAAGGAGGTACAACCAATACATCAAGTTGTTTCTCCATCTTTGGTCCACCATGCAGCAAACAGCCAGCCTCCATCTCTGTGCCATGAATTTGTTTCAGAGTTTGTGACTTGTGCAACGTGGTGAATTTGTTGTCATCATCTTGGAATGCCATTTGTCTCCATGTATGGAATCCCAGTCTAACTGTCTGCACGATATGGCCATTTGCCCATCAGCAATCGCTGCTGACGGCTGGAGCCAGAAGTCATGAAGATGCTCTGCAGCAGGAGCTGGATACCTTGAAGAAACTGCGTGAGGCAGAGAAGAGGCAGCAAAGGTATTCCACTGCACGGTTCTACAAGCAGTTTTCTGCTCCATTGGCACTTCTTGCCACATATATTGCATTCTCCAGTCGATTGAACAAAGTAGTGCAGTTTCACCACACTTGCGACGCCCGATGCATTTTGGCAAACACGGTTGATGGTCCTCAGCAGCATCTGTTTCTGTAACTCACGTTGCACAGCAGGGGATTAAAATTAGGGTCGCTGTGAATTAGAGGACCCGGCTGATGTTTGCTGTTCGAAGTTTGGCCCTTGTTTTGCAGTGCGATAACAGCCTTTAACACATACCATGGGTTGTCTCTGCTGTTATAATTCTACTGTAAGTGGGTGCTATCCCCAAATTATCAGCGGCAAGGTGCCCAGCTGGAAATAAGGGCCCAACGAATGTGGCAGCATGTTGAAGAACGTGACGACAGGCGAAATCTGACGATGTTGTGTGTTGTGCTTCAGGCTGGATGGCGAAGCAGCAATTGCACGCCTGTCGGCCAAGGTGGAGGAACTTCAGAATGAGGTATCTTTATTGGTGGCGAACTACAAATGTAGATAACTGATTCTGCCAAATGGAAGAAGTGAGCCACTTGTCAGAATTGGATCAAAAAATGCGCCAAATGGCAGAAGTAAATCACAGCACAGTACCAAAGACAATTGTGGATAACTACAGCACATTGGCCCAATTGGACATGGTGGAAGAAATTACACTGCCAACAGCATTCGGCTCTATGCCGTTGTGCTATGGGCCCCTTTATGTTGCAGAACCACTAGTGCAGGCAAGAACGAGTCAGTCAGCCATCGCCACATGTCCATGTTTATTTACTCGTTTTCCATTTTTATTCCGAGGTTGTGCAATGTGAAGCAGTCATCGAACTTCCAATGGATAATTCCTATCTGACCAAGTTCACTGTTTCTATAGTGTTGTCAGCATTTGGTTTCACCTAATTCTTGCATTGTGCTGCATGCTGGAAATTCGTCGCTGTTGTGAATCGTTGGCTCACTGACAGCTTTTTGCTGCACTCTACAGGAGACCATCCTGAGGGCAGCAGCCAGAGATCGTGAAGCAGCTCTTCGATGCGAGCTTGAAGAATTCAAGAGGACCACTGTGGAGGAGAATAGGAAAGAGAGGTTTGTATCAATTTGACGTTCTTGTAACGGATGTGCACAATACATGGCAACTTAGGATGCAAGCCAAATTCAGATGATGAAAGGCCCACCCGGTGAAATCTATTTCTGCAGAAACATGCGCCACTGGTGCTAGAACATGGGCATTCACACACAGACAACTCTCTGGACATTCAGGTGCAAGCTTTTCATTGCCCAGTCTTTGTTTGCTTGTCTTGGGCTCCTAAACATTGTGAATGGATGGTGTGACGCCAGTGTGCAGTTCCCAACCCCACAGCTAATCCACAGTCCCAGTAGCACAAGCTTGTCCTATTCCTTGGTTTGGTGCGTGCCAGCTGCTTTCGTTCTCAACCTTGTTGATGGTGGTGCCTTTCCACTTACAGGGAAAATGGGCCCAGTGCTTTCTTGTTCTAGAGGATTGCTCAACGTCTGACTCAGTTTTCCAGGTTTTCAGGTGCATTGCAGCATGCACAAATTTGCAAAGCGAAAGGAAGAAATGTTCCATGTCGTTTTCCGACGTTGCAGATGAGCAATTTGTGTCAGTGCTTGTGCTGTCCTTTAGGTCAGATGCTCAGGCGACAGTCAAACAGCTTTCAAAGAAGGTGGAGAGCCTCAGGAAAGAGGTAAAGCTGTGGTGTGCTGAAATGCCCTGTCCACTTTCGCTCACCATTTGGTGGCGGGCCCTCAATGCACTCTTGCACAGCAGCTAGTTGCTTTCTGGTCCTTTTGGTTCCACACCAAAGGCAGTCGTCAAAGCAAGGGCTGGATTGTGTAAGGAATACAGCTGAAGCCACTTTCCAGCAACCACACAGTGCCTTGCTACCAGCCAGCGTTTTCCACAATTGTAGCTGCAGCCAAGAGTCAGATAACCTCTTTGAAACGATGCAGCACACTGTAAGTGCCAGGAGCTTGTGGGCAAGCCATGATAGAGCTACTACTGGGCACCAAGAAGAGGCATGGACGAGTTGATGGCATAGTCTGCGAGCACAATTCTTCAATTCCCACAATTATCAAACCATCAGAATTGCTGTCCCGTTGCCCATTGTGCGATGTCATCTGCATAGCCTGGAAACGTGTTGTTCCACACACACTATGCACGTTGTGGTCTAGTCTCTTGAGCGCCATTGTCTTTGCTTGTGATGCCATGATGTGAAGCAATGCTTGTGATTTCGTCTATTGCATATTGTGTTGAGCTGTTGACAATGTTGGGCTTGCGATTCTAGGTGGCAGAAAAGGAAAGGAAGATCCAACAAATGCACGATGGCCCTGATATTGGGATGGTAAGTGCTATAGAGCGATTGGACTCAAGAGTCTTTGTTCCCTTATGTGAGTGACCCATCTGCAGCTGACATGTCCAACAAGCACAGAGTACTGGAAGCTTTTGATTGTGACTCAACAGGTCAGTTTCTTTGCAAAATATGCAGGGGGTTCACGCTGTCTGCAATGTCGTGAACTGCACTTTGGGGGCGTTCCTGCACACTTTGGCAAAGTTTCCTGTTGATTTGTTGGCAATGTTTGATGCAATGATGAAGTGTGCACAATCTGACGCAAGGCACGGTCCTCCTTCAGCAGGTGGAGACGGAACTGGGCATCGTCGACAGATTGTTCACATCTCTGAGTCCGGAATCTGGACAGCAGCAGAAAGACGGCGATGCTGCCATGCATACTAAACAAAAGATGGCAAAGAAGCCTGCAAAACCGCAGTCAGGGGAGGAGCTGTCAACCAAAACAAAAGGGAAAAGAGGCAAGGAACCTTTGGCTCAAACAGCCCTTGTAAACACAGATGCCAATGAGGAGGATAATGTACGCATGAATGCTGATGGCATTGAACCTGAGGCTGTCGGGGTCTGCAACCCAGACTTGGAGAATCGCCCTGTGCTGGCCAATTCAGCACAGCCAACAGAAGCGCCAGATCGGCCAGGTAATGGTGATGTTACAGCGAAGCAAGCAGGAAGGTGCAGGCCAACAAGAAAATGTGCAGAAGCGACGAACCGGAGGATTGCCAGAACTGCAGACTCCCATGGGGAAGAGGTCTTGCAGTATGGCACAGCAAGCCCCACAGCTGTTGACAAAGCTGGAGAGAAAAAGAGGAGAGGCCACAAAGAGGGAGTTGAGAGAAAGCAACCTGGTGAGCAGGTGAGGCTTGTATGACCTCGGTGGTTGGATGCAGTTGGGGGCCATGATGCTGCAGGTGTCGACTGATTTGCAACCAAGGAGCAACGTGCAAGTTCCCGGGGGCAATGTTTGTAAAATTGTGACAAACCGCTTCCTATTCACCTGTTAGGTCTGCTGCACACTCTTCAAATGTTCAAGCGTCGGCCCTCATTGGAGTACTTTGCTCCTGTTCTCCAGTGTTTGGAGCAATCAGGCACCTGTATTCATCTACTGTTTACAGTCTGCATTCCAATGTCCTACGCTCATGGCCGTGGTGCCCTCTTGCCCAGCATCTATTTGGATAAGTGTGCATCTGCTGTTGCAGTAAAGTTGTCAATAATTGGACACACTGCACACATCTGCAGTGTATGTGAGCGGGCAAGCGCAATGCATATGCAAAGCAATGTTCATTTCGAAAGCTGATGCATTCCACCCAGGGAAGAAAACGTCGGCGACGCGGGGAGGCTGAGGCTGATGAAACACAGGAGGAAGAACACCCAGATGCCATGGATCCCCCACAGCAAGTGAATGAGCCCAGCTGCCAACAGAGGAATGAAGACGAAGAGTTGCAGGGCGGAAGAGCCCATGCTGCCAAAAAGGCAGCACAGTCCAAGATGGCCACTGACCCGTTGGGTGCCCTCACAGACAAGTAAGTCTCTTTGTTGTCTTGACAAGTGGTGCATGGACATACAGCAGTGTCGTGTTATGGCTGGATTGTTGTTGACCAGTCTATCCATTTGATCTCCAAAAGTGACACTGCTCCACAAGGCAGAGGAAAGAGGAAAAAGAATGGAAGTAACAGGTGCCGACCGTCATCCTCAGGTGCTGCGACAATCTGAACCCCGCTATCATACAACACAAGCTTGATTGAATGCTTACATTCTTTATTGGTCATATTGATTCTTTGTGCAGCTCAATTGAGACCCAAATGTGAGGTCATAGTTGCTGCCCTAAATCCTTCTGGCCCATATTTATGGCATCTTGCACAACGGGGGTCACTTGTGTATTGGAACTGCTGCCCCAAGGTTGTGCCTTTGAACAGCATTTGCACCAGATGTGTCAAGCACTTACAAGCCACAAATTCCAGCACAACCCAGCCCTTTGTAGTGGCAAGGGTATTTTGGACTGTGCGGTGGGCTTCATGGCAACCTGAATAACACCCCAAGTTGGGAGACTATTCCTGCCTGTGCGGTGGGTTTGCTACGATCCTGAAGCTTTTTGTCTGGTGAACCCAAGAAAGGCCTTCAGAAGGGGACAACAGAGTCACCAGCAGATGAAATTGTGCAGAATGAGCCTGTGTGTGTGTGTGTGTGTGTGTGTGCTGGGCCAGGGCTCTAGCTGCTGCGAAGTCCTGGAAGGACCCCAATGCATCTGCCGCAGCTCCATTTAAAGTTCCCCAACCACGGGCAAAGGCGAGGTAAGCAAACTCTGCTTGTATATAGGGACAATCCAACAAATTTCCGATCCCCTACAGTAGGGTGCAGTTGTGCTGTTTTGGTGTGTCAGGCCTGTTTGCCAATGCGAATTGTGTTCTCTGATATGTGTTCTGTTCCAATCGCATGCATAAGGTGACATTGTCATTTTGTGGAACAGGCGGTCCTCAGCTGCACACAAGAGACCTCTGCTTCCTAGGTCCAGCCTGGCACACACAGACACACTCTCCGTTGCCAGCTTGTTTGGGACAGGGTTCACAGTGCCAAAGCTGCGAAAACCAGAGCTTCGATAACACTCTTTCTGTTAATAATTTCGGGAGGGCTGACTGTTGAGCCGATCAGAATTTTGCAATGGAGCTGGAATGTAGGTCCTGAACGCCTGCTTGACGAGCACTTCTCACCTGTCCGGGCTTTCAACTGTACGATAAATTCGAATTCTGTTCAAACGTTGACTGCAGAACAGGCTCATCTTTGTGACTTCAACAGCCTTTAACAATCACAAACTATTCCTTATGCCAGAGGTGTCCGCTGCAGGTCGAAACGCATTCCGATGCGAAACAGCGTCATGTTTTTACAACTGCAGTGAAAGCGGATTCAGCCAGCATGCTGTCTGAATTCTAATAGTGATGCGACATCCCGCAAAACATCCACAACCAACTTCAGGCTGCAGCAGCAGTCAGCACTGGCTGGTGCTCACATGTCTCCGTGTGCAAAGCCAGCACCTGTTCAGTTTTGGATTGGCTTGCCATGACTGGAGTTTCATCTCTCAGGGTGCTGCCAGGCAGCTTCCTTGCAGTTCATACTCATGCAGGTGTGTAGCCTGCCTACCATATTGAGAACGAACCCCAACAGCTGTTTATTTTCCAGTGGCAAGGCACAACGCTATTAGATAGTTCATCAGGTGCTGGGTGTTTAATGCAAGGTGTTGAGGTCTTTCAAATCAGTGTATAACACTGGTCCTAATGCAGTGCTGGAGGGGCCCCTGGTCAAGGGCTGATTTGCCGTGATGTGATTTTGTGGATGGCCCCCATAGATCCTTCCTGAAAACAGTAGTGCTGATGTTGGCCCACCATGTCAGAGTGCTTGTCAGCGATCGACAAGTGCCATGTCAAGGGCCATTGACTCTCAACTGCCAAGCTACTATCAGCAACGTGATGAGGACGATGTTGGAATGAAAAGAGCCATTCACACAAAACTTCAATTCATACCTGCTGTATTGGTCAGGACATCTCCAAAATCCTGGAAGCTCTGCTTAAATGCAAACTTGAAAATGATCGTTACAGGTCACAATCGGGGAGCATGAATGGACCACAACGATGCACAAAGAGGATCCTCTCTGCAGTGAGGATGGTACGCACGTTTCCTTGCGAAGATGGCAGCATGCTTTTGTGCAAGCGCTTTGTGTCCCACCACCCATTCGCCCATCGAAAAAATACAAACTCTAGGGCAAAACACCCTAGAAATATAAAGACGTTGCCTTATCAATGGAAATGCAGGACTCGTTCAATATTATTGGCCTGTGCCACAACAGAGCAGACTGCCTAAAATCGTCAAAACAAGCATACTGATACACACAGTGACTATTCTGCACTGCACTGCACACTTCAAACCCTGACACCTTCTCAAGGACAAGCCAGCATGGGTAGTGGGTCATCGTCTTCCTCCTCAACGTACTCCACATGCTCCACATGCCTCACATTTCTGGGTCCTGCATCGCCAGGTAGGAAACAGGAGTCAGCAGGTCACAAGTGGGGAAAACTGCAGATATGAATTTCTGTTTCTGTGCGGACAGCCCAGAATGTGGCCTTGTGCCCACAATCAGGCCAAGGGCATTGTCCTGATATTTTTTGACAAGCCCCACCAGAGAATTCAATCAATCAAGAACGCCAGACATCCAGGCAAGTGGCTGTCATCGCCCTAGTGTGCTCAGAAAAGCAGTGACAACGATTTGTTCAATGAACACACCAGGAACTGCAGCAATAGGACTCCAATTCCATGAGCTTCAAATTTCTCAAAGCAGCTCCAAAGAATTTGAAAATTCAAGGGAAGTGCACCTGCTTCGGCTGTGGTAACAGGCACCCGGGCCACGTTATCCGAACGAGACAACCCGCTGAAGCCGAAGCTGCCATTGACATCTAGACTGGCCAGAAGCGCAAGGTGGTCGGCCAAGGGGTCTGTTCGCTGGCTCCCTGCACTAGGATTCCTCTGCGCCACTGTCCTATCCACGGATTCTGCCAGCTGAGAGGCGCGAAGTGGCGCCTCAGGTGCTGATGCCTGTGGAGGCGCCTCACAAATCTTGCCAGAAATCCCAACCAGTGCCTCCAGCGAGTCATACAGAGCGGCCGCAGCAACAGGCAGGGCCGGCTGCTCTTGCACCAACAGGTCTTTTGCAGTCACAGGGCGCCCGTAGAAGTTCATGTTAACGGCATCTCGGGTGGATATCACAGCACCCTCCACAGAGATTCCAACAAAGGCACCCCGGCTGATCGCATAGGAGTAGCACCTGGTTGTGCCACCGCCGTCGCCAACCTGGAAGCAGGGTGGAACATACTTCACCACAGTGCCTTTTTTGCATGTTCACAATGCACTGTTCACGAGAACAACTCTGTGCAGTGTTTCACAATGATGTGGATATCATGCAGCCAGTTGCAGTGAACATGAATCAACCCACAATTGACTGAATCGCCATTGCAAATGAATCTCTCTCAACCTGACTCTTCTGGGGCTGGATTTTGGTATACACTGTCCTCATACCTTCAAAAAGGCTTCCGCAATCCGACCCACCCCAACTCCAACAGCTACACTCACGCTGCCTCCCAGTGTGAGCTGCGCCCTGCCTAGAAGCACATTCACACCAGTGAGGCAAAGTCTTCAAGTTTTCAGCCAAAACCCACCAACGGTTCAGTGGCAACTGCAAATGATATGGGACTGAAGACTTCTGGCTTGCGGATAGACCTGGACATCGCCCTCTGGCAGCGCTTTATCACGTTGGTCGAATTCGCCCACCGTTTGCCCATTCCCACATCCACCAATGACATGTGAGGATATGTATTTGGACACTTTTGACTGAAAGCACCAAAGACAGCTTCGATTGGCAAGGCCTCCCAAGGCAGCATATGCCAGCCAGTCACCTGAAAAGGCATCCACCGCCTCTTTAGTGGGCAGAACCAACACAATGTCCAAGATCTCCCCTCCAGCTTGCGGGCCCCATCCAGCACCACAGCAGCTGACGGCACAAGGGGCGCTCCAACCACCCGAAGGCTGGTGAGCAACAACAAGACCTGCATGCAAGAAGGCCCCATGGCTACACATTCACTGTCACAACGGGCGGAACAAGGTGTTGCACTGGGAAGCTGCGCACTGGGCATCAAGTAGATGGACTGTTACATGAATAGATGGAAGATTACAAATTCATTTGTTCACTGCAATCTTCCGAAAAGATGACTTTGGATAATTCATTCGCTCTAGTCACTTTGCACACAGGTTGGACCACCTGTTGTGCACATACTGAGGTGCAATGGCCATGGCAGCATTACAAAGGCGCAATGTTATGCAGCAGCAAAGCATACGATGAATGGAATGAAGAGCATGTGGACAGACATTCTCATGAGCATTTGACTGCTGCACATGGGTGGCTGTTGCAGACTAATTGAAGAACTGACAGCTGCAGGTACTTCATGGCAGGCAGCATGAAGTGGAAGGATAAATGCATTGGTTTCAGCACTGTTCAGAGGCAGGCTTCTGAAATGTGGACAATTTGCTCCACACATCCACTCCGAATGATTTGGATTTAGGCGCCTTGCACTTGGGCCATCAAGTGCCCATTCCAACTGCTGCAAGAAGTGATGCAGCAAAAGTTAACACACCTGTTCCAACACGGGCTGACCACAAACCCAGCCCAACCTTGACTTGAGAAAGCAGAGCAAACCCTGCAGCCCCCTGCAGTACATCATCAGGTATGAGGTTGTTGAACAGCCTCTTTGCCTGCGCAACAACACAGAAGAGTGATGTGCATCAATTTTCCATGCCAACAGGGCACCAACAACAGGCCCTTCTACCAAAGAGCTCAAACAGCCGGTGAGCTGCTGATTCATGACTGGAACTCACCGTCTGCACCTCTCGCAATATGTTCGTGGCCTTGTAAATGTCCTGTTCAAGGGATCTTGTCAGAGGGTTGTTCACCCACGACCGTACGGCTGTGCTGTCTGTGACATCATGCACAAGGTCTTGTGATGCTCTGCTGTGCCTCTCAGTGAGGTAAGGCTGCAGGGGGCCCAGCACAGATGAGCACATTTCGCAGACCCTTGCAGGCTCCCTGTCGAATACAGAGGATACCATTCATAAACGAAGGGAGCTCCTCAACGATCTTTCCAGAATCGAAGTGCTGAGAAACTTCTGGCAAAGGCAAAAAGTTTCTGCTGATCTCCATGGGCTGTGCCTTCCCAAATTCCACACCCCCAGCCCCCCCCCCTATTGTCACATAAAATAGCAAAGAGAAAAGAACAGCACAGATCCCACGTGCTCAAGCACCATCCTTGTGTGCTTTCTGGGCACCCTTGGGTTCTATGCTCGCACAGCACAAACTCTGTTGGAACAGAATGCACACTGGAAGTGCAGAACAGTTTCTCAAGCTACCAAAATGCTCCTCACCGCAGTAGGCACAGCACAGGGCAGGCATTCCTCCCACCTGGCAGCAAACTTTGGAGGCAGCAGCATCCGCTTACTGCAGCATTGGTTGCAGAAGATTCGACCACATAGCCTGCAGTGGTGCCTGAGCCTCACAAGTGTCCTGAAATTCAAACAACAATTGCTGCACTGAATGCCTTGGCTGTCGGGGACCCAACAGGGAGGCTCCAAGGACATAACATCCACACCACCGTCATCAACACCGCCAGTGAGGTGCGATGCATCGACGGGTGGTGCGCTTGGCATTGCTTGGCCTGCATAACCCACAGAAACCTCAGTACAATTCTGATTCCTGCACCAGAAATCCGCTGCTGACAGAGCATTTCCACAACCGCAATGCTGGCATGCAATGAAAACTGCAATTCCATTTCAGAAATCAGCCGCTACAATTTTTTCTTCGCACAATGCAAATGTTCCACAGTGCTGACTCCCAATAAAAGCTGTTCTGTAGTGTCAGACTGCATTCCCTTCATTCTGCACATCCCCAGTACTGAAAGTTTACCGTTGGTATGACCAGAGAATCATACAGGCTTTCCTGCTGTTGGAAACAACACCAACCTCCATTGGCAGGCTTGCGCCCCAGCTCAGATGAGTACTGCTGCGCAGTCGTACGGGCCGTTGGAAAGGCCTCCCATCCCGCTTCCCGGGTTTGACAATCGATCTGGAGGTTGTTGGCAAGGGACACCAAGTCCCTGAGCTGGTGGTTCAGCGTGAGCTGCATGGAAGGGTCGAAGGGCGCACGGCAGAGAGGGCACTCCGGCCTGTGCGCCTGGACGCTGGCCATGCACTGGCAGCAACCATTGTGTCCTGCAGGCCACCACCCCAAGTCCTCAATGCCAGGTTCCCATTCAAATTGCAACTAACGGGCAGGCAACGATGGATGTTTTCTTGGGGTGGGCGACCAGCGCGCCAAGCGCATTGCTCCCAATCTTGGTTGCCAATTCGAGAGACGACCCTAAGAATGGGCGACATTTGGGCCCTCTTCGTTCTTTCCCCAGAAATGGAAATCAAAACAGCGACAGGCGGGTACTCCTTCCCTTTCAAACTATCATACTCGCGGCTCCGAGACAGTTCTCGTTTCTGTGAAGCGTCAGAGGTGAAGAAAACTCGCGGGCTTGGCCCCAGCACGCCTCTGGCGCGGGCTGATGGCAGTTTTCCATCACTGCCCGTCGCATCCCCGACAGCTACCCGGCGCACCCCCCGCATGCGACACGATCAACTCAAAACTCGCCAACGCGAACCAGACTCCCACGCGGGACGAGCCCCAAAACAACACCCCACCGCGCCATCCTCTGCTGCTTGCGCAAACAACCAACGGGCCCAGAGCGCGGCGCACAGATTCCGCGCCAACCAGCACTCTCAGCAGATTCTCTCTCCCGCCACGGCGCCTTCGAGCGGGACCGTAGGCTTGATCCGTGACAGGCGACGGCACGGCGGGCGCCCCCGCCACAACCGCGTTCTGACATGACATCCTGAACATTCCCAGCAGCGAGAGCGCGGCGTGTCTCTCCCTCCACGGGACCCCTCCAGCGCATCCCTACCGCACGGCAACGTCGTGGGGCCGCCGTATCTCCCCAGCGTGTCGCAGCACACGGGGCATACGGGCACGGGCGTCATGGGGGAGGCGAGGAGCAGCGCAACGGCCCCCCACGCGGAGTCCCGCGGTTTCCCTGTGGCGCTCCCTGGTTTTAGAACCTGAGAGCCCCGAATTTAGAACCTAACCTGAGCCCCGAATGTCTGCACACGGGGCGCGGCATGAAGCGGGCTGCTGGCGTGCGATGCGGACGAGGAGCTGGGCTGCGGACTGGGAACTGCAGACACGCTTGGAAAACTCGTCGCCACCGCCCCCAAGCTGATAGGCGGAAGGCAAACTGTTCTCATGTCCACCCGCTCAAATACAAATATCCAGTTCCCTTTTCCAAGGCTGTCAAAATCTATGGATTCCGTCAAACTCGACAAGGGAGATTCCGACCAGGTCAGACATGAAGGTCTGCGCATCAAACTCAGTAAAATGCAATCATACCATCGTCAGCAGCCTGAGACAAAAATATGGTGTCTCAGCTGCGACACATTATATGTACCCCCAACAACAAGATGAGTCAGCAGTAACAGCAGCATTCATTTCACATGACAAGCAAGCAGGCAGTTGTCAGCTTCCTGTCTCGCCCGGGTGAGGCAATGTCCATGAATTTTTCATTGAAGTCTAATGTATGGCACATTGTGTGTGCTTTGTTTATCAAGCGACGTCCAAAAATCCTAGGGTGAGCCCGTAGGCGCTAGTAAGACATCGTTGCAAAATGACAGGTCATGTGGGTACCATGATGAGCAATAAGAATGTGTCTGCCTGCTGGCACATAGTGTTGAAATTGCCATTTGAAATTCTCTTGATGGTTCCTGCAATCCAGGAGACTAATGGCACAAACGCCTCTTTCATCTGATTATCTCTCCATTCTCAACGATAGGGATTTTACCCCCACACCGCGATCGACGTTCCGACCATGCACACCCGTGGCCCCTCGCGACTTTTTTGTACATCGAGTCCTGGCGTGATTTTGGACCCCGGCATATTATCGTGTCCGCCACCAAATTCGGCGGAACCTCAACACCACTTCCACAACGTTTAAGTCCAGCTGTTTAATATTTGCTCTGAATGTCCACACATTCAAAAAAATCACGAGTCCCAAAGCATTTGGGGGGCATGTAGCCAACGCAGTCAGTGAAGCAACAACAAAAGACAGGAGTTTATCACAAAGAAGCTGCCGGCCGTCTGCCGGTAACGAGTGCACATTGTGGGAGACCCCTATGCTATGGAGAACCCCTGGTGCACAAGGCAACGTTGTAGAGTGCATAGCAGATTTGGCGCTGAGAAATCTCCATGATGTTGATGCAACGGGATTTCTCTTCTTATCACCCACCCCTCGAAGAAGATATGATGAACGACGATTAGGCGCAACTTATTTCTTGGATTTCAGTGCTCCCCACCGCCATCAGGGATGTTCTGAGCTGCAATTCGAATCCCAATAAGTTCCAGGCGATCGAGACATGCACCTCTGTATACTAGACTTGCGCTCGTTGCTGTGTGTTGAACGAGAGTCGGTAGCCTCATTTGGTAATGCTTACCCAAGCTTACATGCTTTTGGACGAGGCAGGCCTGCTATTTATGGCACGAACACGCTGAATTTACCCGCATATATGCTGAAAAGTAGTTTGATATCTTTGCGCAAGAAAACACGTGAAAATATTTAAATGTGGGACCTGTGCACATGCACCCGGCACAACGGACTCAGAAGTTCCGAGGAGTGGCAGACGGACGCGCTGCAGTGGGCGGAGGACGACCAGTTGTTTCGCCGACGTCGCTGCCCTGGCACAGGGCGAAATGGATGTCATGATTCGAGTGCTCGAGGGGCGGCGGACTGATCGTTGTTTGTGACTTCATCATGTAACCTGGGCGCCTCGACGTGTGTTAAAATATGGCTGTAAAATGGGCTCTTCTTGTTTACGCGTTCTTACACCTGAAAACATGAAGGTAACACTGGCGCCATGAGCGCAATAACCAGCCTGCGGCAAGGTACTGCAATCATGGTTGATCACACTGTGTCTCAGAGACTAGCTGGAAGTCTTGCTGATTCGATTTTGCGACGGATACTCTCCTTATACTTAAGCTTCTCGCCTCGAAGCTTCCGTGCCGCAATGCACAGACCCAGTACGGCGAAGTTGACGAGAGCAGGCTGCCGGGCTCTCAACCTCCGAGCACAAGGAGCACCGGTCTGGGGCGATTCGTTACAAGGTGGCGCTGCCTGACTGCGTGAACAGATTATCGTGACACGCGGTGCCAAATAAGTGGCTGCCCATGGTGCACTAGCCCTCTTGTGATAGTACTTTTGTGTGAATGGTACTGTAGAATAGTACTCTTAGGCAAGTATTATGGCAGAAGATTGCGAGCTTGATCTGAGCACTGGAATTGCAATTCGGACTGACGGTAATTGCAGTCAGCCCATCCAGCTTTGAAAACTCGTTATGGAATGTGAGCAGATCAGAAACTTGTTGCGATCACCATGTTTCGTGACGCTCGGAATTTGGGTGGCGTGAGGCGAGCCAGGCGTGTGGGAAATTGATGCAACTTGTGGCATGGTAGCTGCTGGCCTCAGAGCTCAATCCTGCCTTCTGCGCTACATTTCAGGTTTCTAGGCTGAAAATTGACTCACCACCAAGAACATCTAATATTTTGGCAAACACGATTTACTCAGGGAGTGTGGCGCATTTAAACATCGAACACTTTGGTACTTCTGAATTTATTGCAATTCATTTCATGCATCACCGTGAAAACATTACAGCTATTTGTTGATAACAAATCACCGCAAAACTGTTGTAAAATGGTGAAGCTTTCCAACACGTCAGTCGGGCATCCACTATTTCCACAACCTCCTGAACGCCAGGCTTTTGCCGAATCCAACATTCGAATCCCTTTCCTTCCGGCAGAACCACTATCAAGAATTCTTCCATATCAAGGCGAGGAGGCAGCCATCAGCTCCCCACGTCGCCCGAGCAAAACAGTGTCCATGGATTGTATGATGGTAATCCAAGGCAGAATCACAGCAGGCCGCCTCCTCCTTACATGCACCTTTGCTTGGCCGATCGAATGGGCCCCCTCATTCAACAACGGTCAATCCGTCGTCCTCAAGGGAGTCCCCCGTTCGGTTGGTCGACGCCCGTCCCACCAAAGCCGAAACCAACCGCCGGAGCCGTCTGTCAATTCCTTTCCCCCCCCCTGCTTTCTTCCCTTCGCCGTCTTCCTTTTGGCGAGGGCTGCGCCCGTGCACGAGGCCCTTGGTGTCCGGTATTTTTGACGGTGGTCAAGAATGGTCAGTGGGTCGCGGGGGAGCGACGGCGCGAGGCGCTCCAGGACGGGCCCCGACATAAAGGTGTCGGGGTCCAGGCCGCCCAGCCGCCAGCCATCCAGGGGGAACAGCGCGCCGGCCACGCCGGTGAGTGGGGCTGCCGGCACTACCGGCGTTCGCTGGGCCGGTAAACGGAGGTTTGGGATTGGCACAAGGTGGCGAGGCATAGTCCCACTTTTCCTCCACTTCCGGTTATATTTAAAGGGACCCCCAAGACGATCAAGACGGATACAGAGGACAGAACATCAAGTCGAATCCGGGTGGTTGGTACATCGGAATGGGGTGTACTGCGTGCGTAACGCGGGAGTCAGGTCACAGTGGGTTGCAGAGAGGGATTGTACTGGATGTCGTGAAAGCATGCGAACTCTGCCTCTGCGTCAGCCAACGGTTTGTGGACTATGAAAGTGTGTCGTGCACTGGTTGAAACACTCTCGGCATTGTTTGCTTGGCGGAAGGGAAGTGACCGCTGGCTCCTCTTCTGATATGTGAATGGTTTTGGCTGAGGGCATGGGACTGCGGAGGTCGAAGGCACACTTTCGAAGATATCACGTTTCTGTTAGCCCGAACCACGCAGTACGCAACGTGGAGACTTGTACAGCGGAGCCCAATCCTCTAGCGTACTCGGATTTTCCTCGGTGGTTCGAAAGGACAGAACGTCGGGCGCCATCCAAGTCTGACCAGAAGTCGATGCGTGCGCGCCCGCGACCCTGAGCGTATGCACTGTGCCATGTGAACCACTGGAATGCGTGTCTGTGCACTACCCTGAAGCGCTTAGTTTAGATCTGGGGTGGCGCCTGCTGACGTGTGGCTTTGACGCTGAGCAGAAAATTCCTCAACGTGATGACGTCACTCCGATCAGCGCGCTCACGCACTTGCTGGTGAAGAA